GCTACGTAGCAATGAAATATTGGATTTTCTACGCTATTAACATCTCATCTAACACTTGGAAACTTCCAATTCAACCAAGAAACAAGCAACGCACTGTTGCCAGAACTATGTTGCCAAAAGTTGTGCATTTATTTTGTGAATAATATCAATTCTTGGGAAAAACGCTTATTTCCATTTGTCTTCAGGCTTCAAATTGTTTATCGGTTATTCATAGTACATCATATACAGTTGATATGTAACTAATTCTAATAAATTAATTAAATTACTAATATTCTACGATTTGTTATATAAAGTTTATTTATTACTGTATTTTCATATATTGACACCGCCTCAAACAAAGCGCATGAAAATACAACTTTAAGCTTGGTTTGTTCGCGAGATCGACTGTACTGTTCGTGAGATCGGTGTACTCTTAAAAAATGCTTTAAATGAAAGTAAAATCTCTGTTCTCCAAGACGGTAAGAAACAATTTGGGCTTAACGGGCTTAATTTTTAAATAAAGTAAAATTTAAAAAATAATTTTTAAAAAGAAGTTTAAAGCAGTATAGGTTTTTTTGGGAAAAACTTCCGCGGGCATAGTTTTCTTTAAGTTATTGAAGAAGTTATACAGTTAATGCATCTTTTTCCTTTATCCAGAACACAGTACATTATTTTAGACATCAGATGTTATTACATTGTATATCACATACTCTACCGGGCATTCTGAGCAGTATTTTATAAAAAATTGCTACAAAATTAATCGCAAACGGAAGTACTGTCTCTCGGCCTAGAATGTAAAGAACGTGCTGTTGAATTCAGTGTCTTCACGTTTTACATAAATGAACCAACGATGCACGATGCGTACTTTAGCCTAAATAAAATTATTAGTTTTTATTAAAGCGAAAGAAAAGGCAGCAGTCATTATCACCTTCTGTTAGGGATTCGAGGAGACGGTGTATACGTGTAATATTATAAAGTGATATTGTGATAAAAATTAGTGAAAATCTTCACTCATACGTACTATAACTTTTCACCAGACATTGAATTTTAGTGAATAATTTGCGAAGAAACTTATAAACTATATATAATATTTGACTAAAATGGAAAAAATCGGCTGGCCCGGTTTCACGGAGCAACATGTGGTTAATACATCTCTGCCAAATACAGATTCGAACTTTAATACTGATTCAAATCAACTACAAATAACTCCAATTGCTTTCATAGATCAACCAGTTCTAACAACTGAACAAAAAAATTATTATTAGAGCAACAAATAGTGTTCCTTCAAAACCATTCACAACTGTATCAACAACAGCAAGTTCAACAAGAATTAATTAGTCACCAAATACTAATAATAAAAAACGCTCAAGAAACAACAGTACCCAAACCCAAAATAAAACTGCTGAAAGTGGGTATTCTGTGAAAAATAAGAGAAAAAGCGTTAATGAAAGAGAATAGTGCTCCAAGTACAGTATTCCAACATCTAATCCATTCGAGTTCAACTAAGGATGATTCAGAATCAACAGAAACGGAAGACAGCGTAATTATTGAAAGGATTAAAATTCTTCCCATTAACATTCACAAAAATAAAAAAAATTGTTAAACCATTTGCATCATTCATATTTTTAATTCAAAATATTTCAAACCAAAATTTTACTACTAAAACAAAGACAAAGACAAACAAAGACCGTATCTCCGTACATATACACTATAGAAGATTTTCGTAATTATCGAAAATTTTGTGATACCAACAATATACAATAATTTTTCTTATCGTGATCCTACTAAGAAAACCCTATCAGCATTAATTTATAACATTCCAAATAATTATCAAAACAGAACTAATAAACAACCCCTATCCTGTAGCTTTCATCTACAGATTATTTAGCAAAAAACGTGAAGAATTAGAAATATGTGCTAAAGATTTACTAGATAACGATCAAGGTCACAGTATTTTAAACTTACCAGAATAATTAATAATAACCATACAATACAATGTAATTTTATTCAGTAGCGTATGTTGAACATACCTGATTCCCAATCACATTAGAAATCTTATACTGAAGATAATCTTGGCTCTCTGGA